AGCGCGACGGACGCGCCGCGCCGCGCGGCGGCCGCCGCGGCCTCCGTGCCCGCGTGCCCGCCGCCGATGACGACGACGTTCGACGCGACGCGAGGTGGACTACGACGTCGTCGTCATCGGCGGCGGGCACGCGGGCACGGAGGCCGCGGCGGCCGCCGCGCGGCGCGGCGCGTCCGTCGCGCTCATCACGCCGTCGCCCGCGAAGACGATCGGAGAGATGTCGTGCAACCCGTCCATCGGCGGCCTCGCGAAGGGGACGCTCGTCCGAGAGATCGACGCCCTGGACGGTCTCATGGGCGTCGCCGCGGACGCGGCGGGGATCCAGTTCAGGGTCCTCAACGCGAGCAAAGGGCCCGCGGTTCGAGGGCCGCGAGCGCAGATGGATCGAACGGCGTACAAGAACGAGATCCAGAGCCTCCTCGGGAACGTTGGAGGGGTGACGATCGTGGACGCCGCCGTCGCGGACCTCATCGTCGGCGAGGACGACCAGGCCGCCGTCGGCGCCGGTGCCGGTGCCGGCGCCGGCGCCCCCGACGCCGCGACGCGGACGCAGACGCCGGCGCCGCGCGCGCTCGGCGTGATCCTGGACCGCGGCGGCGGCGGCGCGTCGACGAGAATACGATCGGCGGCGGTCGTCGTCGCCACGGGGACGTTCCTCAAGGGCGTTCTTCACGTCGGCTCGGAGACGATCCCCGCGGGGCGCTTGCCGACCGCGGTGACGGAGGGTCCGGACAAGAGCGCGAGCGCGGGGGCGAACCTGCTCGCGGACCGTCTCTACGGGATGGGATTTAAGATGGGTCGGATGAAGACCGGGACGCCGCCGCGACTGGACGGCGCGTCGATCGATTGGGGCGGCTTAGAGGAGCAGCCGGGGGATGAACCGCCGCGACCGTTCGCGTTCCATAACGGATCGCTCGCGTCCGTCGTGCCGTGGCGACCGACGCTGCGGCAAGTCAGCTGCTACGCGACGCGGACGACCGCGGACACGGAGGCTTTCGTCGCGTCGAAGCCGCGGTCGAAGCGCGAAGCCGGCGCGCCCGGCGTCGGCGCCGCGCCGCGGTACTGCCCCTCGCTCGAGTCGAAGTTCACGCGCTTTCCGAACCGGACGCACCTCGTGTGGCTCGAACCGGAAGGGTTAGACACGGACGTCGTGTACCCGAACGGTCTGAGCAACTCGTTAGAGCCGAGCGACCAGGTGGAGATGCTGCGAACGATCCCGGGGTTGGAAAACGTCAAGATGCTGAGGCCGGGGTACGGCGTGGAGTACGACTACGTCGACCCCAGAGAGCTCCGCGCGACGCTGGAAACGCGCCGCGTTAGTGGGCTCTTCCTCGCCGGGCAGATCAACGGCACCACGGGGTACGAAGAAGCCGCCGCGCAGGGTTTGCTCGCGGGCGCCAACGCCGCGGGCGCCGCGCGCGAGGACTTAGGCGCGATCCCGAACGAGATAACCTCCAGAGGCGGGTCGTACCTCGGCGTGCTCGTGGACGACCTCACGCGCCGCGGAACGTCCGAGCCGTACCGGATGTTCAGCAGCAGGGTCGAGCACCGGCTGTCGATCCGGCCGGATAACGCGGACCTGCGTCTGACGAGCGCGGGGGTGAGGTGCGGGCTCGTCGGGGAGGCGCGCGGGAGGGCGGCGGCGACGCGCGCGGCGTTGGTAACCGACGCGTTAGAAGCGTTACAAAGCGCGAAGATGTCGCCCACGCTGTGGCGCTCGATGGGCGTAAAAGAAGCGCCGTTGAGCAGGCACGGACGGGCGATGACCGCGTTCGATTTGCTCGTGAACGCGGGCGTCGACGCGCGAGACGTCGTCGACGCGATATCCAATCGCCGGCGCGGACGCGTCGAGGAGTTACGCGCCGAAGCGTCGGAGGTTTGTAACGCTTCTGACGCGTCCGTTACTGACGCGACGTTCACCGCGTTGAGCGACGCCTCCGCGACGCTTCAAAGGGTCCTCTCGAACGACCCCAGCGCGCTCGAGTCCGCGGCGACGGAGTGTTACTACGCGCCCTATCTCGCGAAGCAGCGACGCGACGTCGAAGATTTGAAATCCGAGGAGGCGACGACGATACCCGCGGAGTTGGACTACGCGAGCATAGGGAGCCTCTCCGCGGAGGATGTCGAGAAGCTGAACGAGGCAAAGCCGGCGAACATCGCGGCCGCGGCGAGGATCTCCGGGGTCACCCCCGCGGCGTTGGTGAGTTTGATACGGCACGCGAGGAGCGCGAAATGGGAAGACAAGCGTCGCGGCGGCGGCGGCGGCGCGGTGGAAGGAGTGCGCGCGTCAGACCCGACGTAGAGAGCAGCGCGACGAGAGACACGAACGAACGGAACGGCGGCTAGTGGGTATCATATCGATAGAGAGGAGAGGTATTAGGCAAAGTCTTCGCCCTTCATAACGCCTTCCTTCATAACGAGCGTTTCGCGAACAAACCCTCCAGGTTCTTCACGCGCGCCACCGCCTCCGCTCTCTCGCGCTCGTCCGGCAACCCCTCGACCACCTTCCTCAGCGCCCCGAGCTCCTCCCGCGCGGCGTCGATCTGCGGCGACGTCACGACCAAGTTCATCTGCGGCGGAACCCTCCCCCCAGGGATCTTCTCGCTGAGCTTCGCGACGACGCCGTCGTCGCGGACGCCCGCGTATCGCATCGCGGTTTGCACGTCCACGAGCCCCGTCTTTTGCCCGATCGGCACGCCGTCCTTGAACAAGATGAGCGTCGGGAAGCCGCTCACGTCGAACGCCTCGCCGTACTCGGTATACGTGTCGACGTTCATGCGCGCGATCGTCGTGGGCACGCCCGCGTCTCGCAGCTTCTCCGGCAGCTCGCTCCATATCGGCTCCAGGCGCTGGCAGAACGGGCACCACGGCGCGTAAAACTCCACGAAGACGTTCCCCGAGGAGGGCGCCTCGACGACGCGCGCGAAGTTCTCGGGCGTGAGCTCGATCACGCCGTCGAGCGAGAGAGCGGCGTCCGCGCGCGCGGGCGCGGGGGAGACGACGCCGGTCGTCGCGGTCGCGAGCGCGATCGAGCTCACCGCGGCGAGGCCGAGGGAGGCGCCCGCCGCGCGACGCGAGACGGCGACGGAGACTGCTGATGAGACGGGGGATCGCGGGCGCGCGTCGTCGTCGTCGGTCGTCGGCGGCGGCGCGCGTCGCGCCGCGGAGGGAACGACGACGGCGCGACGTCGATGTCGACGCGCGGGCGGCGACGAGACGAATATCTTCGCCGCCGCGGCGGCGCTCGCGGCGGTGCGCATGGTTCTGCGGTCGATCGCTCGATCGATCCGGCCGCGCGCGGAAGCGTGCTGTCTCCGTCTCGACGAACCCGCGAGAACGACCGATGAACCCGACCGATCAGAGAGAGAGATCTCGGGTGAAAATGTGGATAAAACCGACTAAATCGAAACCGGGGAATCGCCGCGGAGAGGGGGCGAAGAGAACTCGCATAGCCCTACCCCGAACGGAAATAAAGTGCACGGAGGACTGCCGGCATCGGGGGTTCCGGGGTCAACTCGCGCGCGCGCGTCGCACGCGCGTCGACGTCCGGTTCCCGTCCTCGCGAGCGCGGTCGCGTCTCGCGACCACACGCGCGCGCGTCCCCCGCGTTTCCGCGCGCGCGCGACCCGCCGCGCGCTCGCGACGCCGCGACGTCCGCGCCGGAACCCGAGCGCGCTTTTTCCTGTTTTCCGACCCGCGGGCGGAGTAACGCGCCGCTTCCGAGGGATGACCGGCGTCGCGACCGCGCTGGACGCGTCGCGCGCGTTCGCGCCCTCGCTCGCGCGCGCGGGATCTTCGCGACGCGACGACGCGGCGCTTCCGCGCGCGTCTCGCGCGCGCGCTCGCGCGCGCCGCGTCGCCGTCGCCGTTCGCGCGTCGTCCCGCCGCGAAGAAGACGACGGGCGAAGTAGTGCTGACGACGACGCGACGCCTCGGCCGACGTCGCGCGCCGCCGCGGCGAGCGCGGCGAAGCTCGCGCCGCGCGACGTCACGACCCAGCTCGGCCTAGAGCTCTCGTCGCTGATGAAGACGGACCCGGTGCTGTTCGAGCGCGCGCTCAGAGACCAGGTGCGCGCGCGGTCGCCGCGCCCCGCGCCCGTCGCGTCGCGCCCCCCCGACCCACGCGGCGTGACATCGGAAACGACGAGAAGGGGAAAACTCGCCTCGAGTTCTCACGACCCGCTCCCCTCCGCCCCCTCTCCCTCCCCCGTCGCACCGCACGCAGCTCCGAGCGCTCGCGAGCGAGCTCCTGCACCCGTCCTTCCCCGGCGGGCGAAGCGGCGCGCTGAGACCGTTCGTCCACGGCGCGAGCGCGTCAGGGGAGGCGTCGAGCAGCGCGTCCGCGGACGCCTCGGCGGCGCGGTCGCTTCGCGCGGGGTGGCGCGCGCTTCCGTCGCGGTCGGCGGGGGGTCGGCGTCATTCTTTTTCTTCGCGCTCCCGCGGTTCCCGGGCGAGCGGGCGCGGGGCGCCGCCGCGATCGTCGTCCTCGAACGCGGAGTACGACCGCATGGAGGGAATAACCCAAAGCGTAACGCCAAACGGCGAAACGGCGTCACCCGACGAGGAGCAGACGCTAGCGGACGAGACGCTCATGCGCGAGCTCTCGCTCGCCGTCGCCGACGGCGCCAAAACGCAGCGCCGGTTGGAAATCCAAGACGTGATGTACCTCTCCATCGCGCACGCGTTCAACGCCGTCGGCGTCCCGCTCGCGCCGGACGCGAGCCACTACCGCGGCAGAGGCCTGCGCGCGTCGCCGGACCCGCGGCGGCACAGAGAGAAGGTGCGGCGGCTGCTGCGCGAGATCCTTCCCGACGGCGCGGAGGCGCCGTTGGAAGACTTCGTCCGCGAGATTCTCGTCGTCGCGGACGACCCGAGGGCGAGCGGGCGCGTCGGCGCCGCGGGGTTGCCCGCGCTGACGCTCGCGAGCGTCTACGGCGCGTCCGCGCGGTTCGGGTACTTTCTCTCCGTGGCGTCCGAGCGCCTTGCGTTGGAGCGCGCCCTGGGCGGCGACGGCGACGGCGAAGATTCGGAAGATTTGGAAGATTCGAAAAAAAGATATTCAAACGGCGCGGGGGCCCACGGGTCGTCCGGGTCGTCGTCGTCCGCGAGCGCGGCGGTCGCGGGCGACGCGGTGGACTCGTCGACGCTGTGGGACGCGCCCGAGTGCGGCCCCATCGGCGATTGGGTCAGCGAGGACGACGAGGAGTGCGCCGTGCAGGAATCGGCGTTTTTCGAACGCCGGCGACACCTCGCCGTCGCCGCCGGGAAAACGCGCGAGAGGAGCACGGAGACGGAGTCCGTGTGGGGAGACAGCTCCGTGATCGCGGCGGATCAGGCTGTCGGGTTCGAGAAGCACCTGATTGAGGAAGCGCTCGCGGAGCAGAGCGCCGAGGAGCGAGAGGAGGCTGGCCGCGTGCCGCTGCAGATGTTCGTCGAGGCGATGACGCCGGCGCTGAGGGCGTCGAGCGCGAGGCTCGCGGCGACGGAGTCCGTCGACGTCTTGGCGTTGCACGTCGACGCGCTGTTTGGTCCCGCGGACGTCCTCTCCGCGCGCCTCGCCGCGGCGCTCGACGCGGAGCTCTCGCCGCCCGACGCGCGGCGGTCGCGGTCGCCGGATGCGCGAATGCGCGCGGTGCAACGCGCGGCGATGAACGGCGACATCGACATCGTGCGGATGCCGTTGGACGCGTTGAGGTACCTCGTCGTGGAGGCTGCCGCGTTCGGCGCCGCGCTTCGAGACGCGGAGGCGGAGGCGGACGGGTTCGAGCTCGTGACGAGGAGAGACGCGGAGGATCACGTCGGCGGAGGCGGCGGAGAGAGATATCTCGACGCGTGGCTCGACGGCGACCGACCCGGGTGGGTTTAGCGCGCGAACTGAGTCGAGTCGCGCGCGCGGTACAGTTTATATCGTAGTGGGCATTCATTCTTTTGTAAAAACAGACGACGGACGGATTGACGAATGGAAACGCGAACGCGCGAACGAAAGCTGCCGGGAAAAAAACTACAAATTCTTTTATATTTCACGCGATCGAACGAAAAGACCTCGTCTCACCGTCTCCCCCCCACGCGGTTCGCCGGCGGCCGCGGCTTCACCTCCGTCTCCTCCGTCGCGTGCAAGAAGATGTTATTCCCCCCCTGTGCGGACGCCATCGGGTCCTGCCCGCCCTTGCTCCAGTCGTACGAAACCGCGTACGCGAAGATGCTCCCGTCGCGGTTAAACGCGCCGCACGGAATCGGCGCGTTACACTTCTGCATCTGCTTCAACCGTTGCTTGCTGTCTTTATCCCAAAAGTTAAACACGCCGTCCGACCCGGTCGTCACGAACGTCCCGTGCCTCGGGTGAAACGAGATGCTGTTCACCGCGTAGATGTCCGCCTGTTCGCGGTGGCACTTGAACGTGAAGTTCTTCGACGCGAGCGAGTCCTCGACGTGATTCACCGCCACCCGCCCCTCGATCGACCCGATGAGGTATCCGCTCTTATCCGGGAACGTCGCGACGCACCGCGTCTGGTACTTCAGCGGGCTCTGAATGCTGCGGTACGGCGTCTGCGGGTTGGACAAGTTGAAGATCTGCAGGTGCCGCTCCGCGCACCCGACGACGAGCAGCGGGTGCGTGCACGAGAGCGCGTAACACCGCTCGGGGAGTTGCACCTGCAGCGTCGGCGTCGGTTGCCGCGCGTCCCAGTATTTGAGCGTCTTATCCCACGACCCGGTCACGAGCAGGCCGACCTGTGGTTCGCGCGGACGGATGACGATGGTCAGGGTGAGAAGAAGGGTTTAGTTAGGTTCGCGGCGACGGGATCGATCGGGGACGGCCGGGACGATCGACCGATCGATCGATCGATTCGGATCGGATCGAATCGGATCGAAAAGAAAAGAGCGCGAAAAAAGAACTGAACGCAGACGCACCTCGGGGATCCACGCGAGATGGCGGATCGGCAAGTCGTGCGCCGCGATCTGCGTCGGCGTGTTCGTCGCGAGGTCCCACTTCTTCACCATGTTATCGCACCCGCCGCTGAACACCGCGCTGCCGTCGTGCATCCACGCGCTGCACAGCGCGGGCTTGTCGTGCTTGATGGACGCCTTGGGGACCGCCTGCCCGTTCGCTTGGACGTCGTAGCAGTACACCTCGCAGTCCCACGACGTCGACACCAAGAAGTTCGCGGTGGGGGACCACGAGAGCGACGAGATGCCGTCGTTTGGGGGGTTCGCGACCTGGAAGTCGTTGTTCGGGTTCGTCGCGCCCTGCGCGGCCGTCACGCCGAAGCCGCCGGAGAAGGCCATCGAGGGCGAGAAGTGCGGGCGACGCGAGCGATTACTGTAGTAGTATCACGGCTGATGAATTCTTCGCGCGCGCGATCCCTCGATCCGCGACGTCGCCGCCTCCGAACGCCGGCGCGGGTTCGGCCTTCCCGCTCTGCGAGTCGCCCCCGCGACTCGTTCGACGCTTCTCGTCGCTGCCGCGCGTCGTCTACGTCGCGTCGCGTCCGTCGCAGTGACGTCCCCCGCGGCCTCGGGTCGGGGAGACGACTTGAAAAACGACCCAGCTGGCGAGAAATCGCCGTCGCTGCGTTCGTTCTACAGGTAAACAAAACGTTTTTCACCCACCCCTCGGTTTCAACATTTGATCGCGTCCCCTTTCAACTAAACCGATGACAGGAACGGAACTCATCAGATCCACTCGAGTCGATAGGGTAAGGTCTCCGCGATGTCACCGTCGCGCACTCACCCCGTCGCGAGCTCCGCGCGCGCGTCTACGATCGCCGCGAATCGGCTCACGATGGCGTCTTCCTTCGCGATCTCCCGCGCGGGCGTCGCGCCGCGCGCGTCCGCCGCGCGAACGACGCGCGCCCGCGCGTCGTCCCCGTCCATCGCGAGACCGCAATCGTCGTCGTCGTCGTCTCGGTCGCCCTCGCGACGACGACGATCCTCCTTCCCACCCCTCGGCGCGCGCGGCGGCTCCGTCGCGACGCGCGCGGCGGCCGCGGCCGTGGACCTGCGCAACATCATCGAGCGCCTGTGCGACCGCGAGGACCTCACCGAGGAAGAGACGGAGGCGTCCCTGGACGCGCTTCTCGACGCGGATCCCGCGCAGATCGCCGCCTTCCTCGTCCTCCTCCGCGCCAAGGGCGAGACCCCCGCGGAGATGGCCGGCATGGCGCGCGCGATGAAAGGCCGCGCGGTCGCGGTAGACGCCGGCGACGACGTCCTAGACATCGTCGGCACCGGCGGCGACGACGCGGGCACGGTCAACATCAGCACCGGGTCGTGCGTCCTCGCCGCCGCGGCGGGCGCCAAGGTGGCCAAGGCGCGTCCGACTTCTCTCCGTCGCTCTCTGTCGTTCTCCAATGAAACGTCCACGTCATCAAACAACTAACCAAACACATCACTTCCCGCCACATCACCCACCAATCAAACCACGACAGCACGGCAACCGCTCCGTGTCCTCCATGTGCGGCAGCGCGGATGTCCTCGAGGCGTTGGGCGTCGCCGTGGACCTGGGCCCCGACGGCGTGGCGCGATGCGTCGAGGACGTCGGCATGGGGTTCATGTTCGCGCCGAGGTATCACCCGAGCATGAAAGCCGTCGCGCCCGTGCGGAAAGCTCTGAAGGTTCGCACCGCGTTTAACCTGTTGGGCCCGATGCTGAACCCCGCGGACAGCAAATACGCGCTCGTCGGCGTGTACACCCCGGAACTTCAGCCCCTCATGGCCAACTCGCTGATGAAGCTCGGGATGAAGAAGGCGCTCGTCGTGTGCAGCACCGTCGGGAAGCTGTCGCTTGACGAGATGACGCCGTGCGGGCCGACGTCCGTGATGGAGGTGACGCAGGGCGGGGTGAAGACGTATTCGTTCGACCCGAAGGACGTCGGGATTCCGCCGTGCGAGCTGAGCGACCTCGCCGGCGGCGACGCCGCGCTCAACGCGCGGATGCTCACGGACGCGCTCGGCGGCGAGAAGGGGCCGGTGGCGGACTGTTTGATCTTGAACGCCGGCGTCGCGATGGCCGCCGCAGCGCAGGCGGAGTCCGTGGCGGAGGGCGTGGCGATGTGCAAGGAGGCGCACGCGGCGGGGAAGGGCGGAGAGACGTTGAGAAAGTGGGCGGCGCTCTCGCAGGAGCTGAGGGCGGCGGAGTGATCGGCGCGAGCGGGCCGGGCCGCGACGCGACGCGACGTGACTTTATCATATGTGACGGCGCAGAGAAGGGCTTTCTTTTATTTTTGTCTTCTCGCGCGGGGCCCTACATAGTAACCTCATATTTACTCCGCCCCCGACGACTCGCCCGCGGGCCCCTTTCTTGCCCTCTTGTTCTTCCCCGCCTCTTTCTCCGCCTTCTCCTCCTCGTCTCTCTGTTTCCGATACACCGTCCCCATCGCGGACGGGTCCATCGAAGGGTAAAGCACCGCGCCGCGCTTGCCTCCGATGGTCGGCGGCGCGTACGGCGCGGGCATCATCATCGGCTGCATCATCATCGTCCCCTCCGCGCCCGCCGGCGGCGGCACCGCGAGCATCGGCATCGCCGCGGGCTGCCCGGCCGCCGCCGCCGCCCGGCCGTCGCCGCCGCCGCCGCCGCCGCCGCCATCCTCTCGCGGTTTCCTCGGCTTGCCCCACATCAACTTCAACCGCAGGTTGTTGATGACCAGATCCCCGCTCAGCGCCTCCGCAGCCTTCTCCGCGCCCGCGCGGTCCGTGAACGTCACGAACCCGCAGTTCTTCGCGTGCACGCACCGTATGCTCTTGATCTCTCCGTACGCGTAAAATGTATCCTTAAGATCCCCCTCCGTGACTCTCTCGTCCATGCCGCCGATGAACAGCGTCGTGATGCTCTTATCCTCCGGCGGCACGCACGCGACCCCCTTCTCGCTCGCGCGCTTCAACATCTTCTCCGCGACCGGGTCGTTGATGCCGTAGTAGCGGTCCTTGATGTTCTGCGTGCGCAGCTCCGGCGCCGACGTCAGCTCCGGCATGTTCGTGTCTCCGTTGCACGGTCGGTACGGGCAGTCGGGGCGATTGCACGCGTTCCGCAGCCAGAACGTGCATATCGGCGCCTTGTTCTTCTGGTAGTACGGCTTCTTCCGCGCGAGCTTCTGGATCATGGAGTTCATCTCCGCGCGCGCGGTGGCTTGGACGTCCTCGCCGTTTTCGATGCGCTTCGCGATCTCGTTCGTGTGAAACTCGATGTTCACGTCCGATTTCGCCACCGTCTCTCGCTCCCTCCCTAACACCGCGTCGCGCGCCTGCACGGGGATGCCGTAGTCCAGGTCGAGCAGACACACCTGGCACACGTTCTTCGCGAGCGCGATCTCGCGGCAGACGACGGTCTTCTTATACCTCGCCTCGTTCCCCGGGCGCCATCTGAAGACGGTGAACGGGCGCGACGAGATCGCGCACTCCGCCGCGTAGTCTTGCTTCTGCATTCGGATGTACGGGTTCGGTCCCAGGCAGTCCTCGCACACGACGGGGAAGTCCGTGCGCTCCCATCCGTCCGCGTCGGGGTCCTGGAGGAGGCGCGCGGCCTGGAGGCGCGACGACGATCGCGGGCGGCGGGGGAGGGGGGCGGGGAGGTCAGCGAACGGAAGCTTTTGGGGCGGAATCGTGTGGACGGCGCGAGATCTGAGGCGGCGAGCGATCGCGGCGCGCGGGACGGCGTCGAGGCGCGCGGGTCGACGACACGAACGACGCGGCGGGGGACGCGGAGGACGCACGCACCATGTTCGCGGGTCTCGGTCGCGTGCGGCGCGTCCGGGGGTGTGCCGCGATCGCGCGCCCGCGCCGCCCTAATATTTCGCGCGCGAGCGCGCGCCGCGAAGTTTCTCGTTCAGTTCGCAGCTCGTCGCGCGCGACCCGACGCGACGAAATCTACTCGCGGTGCCTAGTAGCTAGTAGTGCACTCCCGGCCGCGCGGGCGGGCGGTCGCGCGGTCGCGATGACGTCGCGAGGCGGCGCGCGACCCGCGCCGACGCCGCCGACGCATGACGAGACCCCCGCGGACCCGGAGGCGCTGAAGCTCGCGACGATGTACCTCGCGTCGGTGACGAACGACCCGTCGGATCGATCGACGGAGCGCGCTAGACTCGCCGCGACGTCGTCGGATCCCGGGGCCCTCGCCTCCTCCGACGACAGCTGGACGACGTACCTAGGCCTCGGGCCCATCCTCGGCGTGGGGCCCGCCGCCGCGCGCGTCGCGGAGACGCCGCCGCCGCTGCTCCCCGGGGTGCTGCCCGAGGTGGAGCGCGCGGACTTCGACGGATACCTGGCGCGCATCGAGGCGCCGCGCGCGAGGTTCGTCGCCGCGCGCGACGCCGCCGCGGCGCGCGGAGGCGGCGGCGGCGGCGCGATCGGAGAGAGGAGAGAAGACGGAGACGCCGGCGAGATCGACCGCGCGCTCCGGCGCGTCCCGTCGATATACTTCCGCGAGGACTTCGACCTCGCGCGACACGAGCACTTCGACGCGGCGTGTAGTCCGGAGACGTCGTCGTCGTCGCTCGCGGCGACGTCGATGGTGGCGCAAGAGCGCCTGTCGCACCACCTCGACGTCGTGGAGGTCGCGCTCGTGAGGGAGATCGGGCGGCGCTCGGACGCGTTCTTCGCGGCGTCGGACGAGGTGCGCGCGCTGAGCGCCTCGGGTGCGTATTCCTTATTACACCGGTCCCCGCGCGACCGCGTCGGCGTGGTGAATGCCGTTACTTTGCCCGCGCGCGCGTCTCTCCGCCCGCCCCTCGCTTCCAATCCCGACACACCCACGCGACGCCTGTCAACTCCGTCTGACGCCTTTGAACCTCACCCCGACGTCGCTTCTTCGCGTGGACCCTCGACCCTCAGCGGAGGACGCGTGGGCGTCGATCGTTCGACTCCGCCGCGTCGTGCGGGGGTTGAGAGACGCGATGCTCGACGGCTCGACGCGCGTGAAGCGCCTACACGCGAAGCGCGAGAACTTGATTAAGTTAACGGAAACGTTCGAGGCGTTATCCAGCGTCGCGGAGATGCGAGAGGATCTGAGCGTGCTCGTGGAGTCGTGCGATTACGCCGCGGCGCTGGACGTCGTCGACGAGTGCGCGAAGCTCGTGTCGTCGCCGTCGCTGATCGGGTTGCGGTGTCTGCGCGCGACGCCCGCGCGGTTGCGCGCGATCGCGACGACGTGCAACGACGTCATGACGAGCGACTTGGCGCTCGCCGCGAGGGAGGGGCTTCACGGCGGCGGCGGGAGCGGGAGCGACTCGACCGGGGGGGTGCCGGAGGCGGCGTTGGCGTCGGTGGAAGCGGCGTCGGCGGCGTCGGAGGCGAAGACCGCGACGGCGGCGGCGGCGGCGCCGCCGATCGACGCCGCGAGCCTCTCGAGCGCAGACGCGGACGCGGTCGAGGCGATGCTCCCGCACGCGTGCGGGTTACTGAGAGGCGACGGCGGCGGCGCTCGCCTCGCCGGCGCGTTGCGGGCGTGGGGCGCCGCCGCGGCTTCCGACGTCGTCGACGCGACGCGTCGCGCGGCGGCGGCGTGCTGCGCCCGCGCGGCGGCGGCGAGCGCGCCGTCTTCGACCCTGACTCGCTTCAGCGTCAATGGTGGCGCGGACGACGCCGCGATCGCGGAGGCTTGCCGCGGGATGCGCGCCGCCGCGTTCGACGCGACGATCGACGCGATAAGGGTCGCGTTGACGCCGCATTTCACGCGCGCGGCGGCGGTGGCGGCGTCCGCGCGGCGGGCGCTGCGCGTCGGCGTCGGTGCGGATCCTGAGGCGCGTTCTATACACTAGTCCCCATACGACCGCGTCGGCGTGGTGAACGCCGATCCTTAAGGACTTTGCCCGGCGCGTCTCTCCGCCCAGGGTCCCTCGCTTTCAATCCCCGCCCTCGACGCCTTTCAACGCCAACTGACGCCTATGAACTCCACCCCGACATTCGCTCGTATAGAACGGCCCTGATTCTCTCGCGGCGGCGACGTCGGTTCCGGAAATCCCGGAGCAGGTCAAAGCGATGGAGACGATCGCGTCCGCGGCGGCAGCGGCGCTGCCCGCGACCGAGCGCGTCACCGCGGCGGCGGCGGCGGCGGACGCTTTGCTCCTCGTCGCGGACGCCGCGCAGGGACGCGTCTCGAAGCTCGTGGGCGCCCGCGACGCGGTCCACGCGCGCCTCGAGCTCGGGGCGTTTGTCTCGACGTCGCGCGCGGTGGATCGGTTCCTCGCGCTCGCGGAGGGTCTGAGCGGGCGGCGATGTCTGAGCCTGAGGGCTTCCGCGACGGCGCAGAGGCGAGCGTTTTTGGCCGCCGCGCACGCGCGATTCGTCGCGTCGCTCGGCGCCGCGCTCGACGCGGAGACGTGGGCGCCGAAGCGCGCGGCGCGGCGATACCAGGCGGTCTTGAACGCGCTCGCGGACGCGGGGAGGGATCCGGATCCGCGCGTCGAGATACCGACGCCAGTCGTCGTCGAGGATGAGGAGGAGGAGGAGGAGGAGGAGGAGGAGGAGGGGCAGGAGGAGGACGGGAGCGGAAGCGGAACGTCGTCGTCGTCGACGACGGACCCGACGACGCTCCTCCTCCCGGGGGGGGGCCCGGGGATCTCCGCGCCCGCGCGATGCGCCCCCGGCGCGGCGTCGCTCCTGGCGCTCTCTCTGCTCGGCGAGTACGTCAACATCGTTCGCGCGATGCCGTCGCTGCGCCAGGACGCGCTCCACCGCGCGTGCGAGCTCGTGAAGGTGTTCAACGCCCGCGCGTGTGCCCTCGTGTTGGGCGCGGAGAGCGTCAGGCGCGTCCGCCTATTTTCATCACACCTGACTGGTCCCCGTACGACCCCGTTCGCGATGTGAACGCCGTTCCTTGAGGACATCGCGTTCGCGCGTTTCATCCGCCCGGGTTTCGATGTCGCGCACGATCGCGCCCGCTGCCCTTCGACTGCTGACCCTTCGATGAAACCCCCCGACGCATAAAACGCATCAGAGCCGGAGGTTTAAAGTCCATCGCCGCGAAGCACCTCGCGACGGCGCAACAGTCGATTTGTTTGCTGCTCCGCGCGACGCCCGCGGCGTTCGACGCGCTCGACGCCACCGCGGGGGACGACGCGGCGGCGGCGGCGGCGGCGGCGGCGGGCGGCGCCGAGTCCGCGTCGTCGTCGTCGTCGTCGTCGTCGGACGCGACGCGGCGCGCGATGTCGAGGATCGAACTCTCCAGGGTCGTCGCGGATCTGACGCTTCACAAGCGCGAGATTCACGCGAAGCTCGTGTCGATCATGCGCGAGCGGCTGAGCTCGCATCTCCGGCGGCTCGAAGAAGACGGCGAGGGCGGCGGCGGCGGCGGCGGCGACGGCGACGGCGACGGCGCGAGCGCGAGCGCGTTCGCGACCGACTTGAGCAAAGAAGTCGGCGTGATGCGACGGATCGTCGTCGGCGTCCTCGCCCTCGACGACCGCGTCGACGTCTTCGACGCGATCGTCCGGCTGTTCGACGCGCGGCTCGCGGAGGCGCACAGGGCGAGGGCGGCGAGGGCGAACGGCGGCGACGCGCGGCGAAGAACGGCGACGTTGCGCGCGGACGGCGCGCTGTTGACGGAGACGCTCGCGAGCTTGGTGAACGGCGGGGACGGGCCCGGGCCCGACGCGTCCGCCGCCGCCGTCGCGCCGTCGCTCGCCGCGGCGCTCGCGTCTGTTGACGTTTCATCTTCCGACGGCGGCGGAGACGCGCGCGGCGAATAGTTGATGCGCACAGCGCGCGAGCACACTATCATATATATTAGCGATGTGATTGATATTACACGGTAGCATAGCGTCGCGACGCGATCCGCGTCCGCCGCAGCCGCGGGATCGACGTCTCATCACGAAAACTCGCGGAGCTTTCGCTTCACGCTCGCCTTTTCCGCGTGCGCGTTCGTCCAGGGTAAGTACCCCGCGGGTCTCCTTCGCAGCGTCGAGAGCTGCGCCTCGAGCTCCTCGCGCGTCGGCCCGCTCGACGGCACGTTCTTCGATTTCATCGTGTGACCTGCGGCGGCGACGGGGGGTGGCGAGTCAGCGACGACGCGATGAAATAATTTAATAATCGGACGCGATCGATCGATGGAACGATCGAACGATCGGATTCAACACTCGGAACGGGGCCGGCGGGACGCGCGACGACGACGCACCCAGCAGCGACGCCGCGCCGGACGCGACGCTCAACGTCGCGCCCGCGCCGATGACGAACACGACGAGCCCGCCCGCGATCGCCGCGGTCAGCCCCCCCGCGGCGTTGAACACGCTGAGCTCCTCGATCTGCTCCGGGGTCATCGCCTCCGCTTGCCTCGCGCCGTCGTCCTTTCGCGGAGGCTTGTACGGCGTCGCGGGCGGCGCGTCCTTGGCGGCGGACGTGCTGAGCCAGCGCGTCCGGCGCGCGGCCTCGCGGCACGCGCGGCGCAGCATCGCGCGCGCGCGAGGGGAAGTGCCGCCGGAGAATGGGCAGGGGAGGGGGCGCGCGAGAATAATGCCGAAAGTGCCGATTTCCGCGTACTACGAAATTCGCGTACTCACTTCAGACTGATTCTCGTACGCTCGAGAGGGCTCGAGCCGCGTGAGCCGTCCGATTCGGCGCCACGTCGACGGTAAAGCGCGCGCTCGTCGCCGTCGCATCCCACTCCGCGCGCTTCGACCGCACGGAACGCACCGCACGCCGCTCGCCGACGCCATCATGCCCGTCCCCGTCGCGGTCAGCGGGTGGAAGTCCGACGCCGGCGGCGGCGTGGACGCCGCGCCCACGGTCATGGAGACCGCGGGCCCGTTCGCCGCGCTCGCCGCGCAGCAGAAGAGGGCGAAGACGACCGAGGACGACGACGCGTCCGCCGCCGCGGAGTGCGACGTCTCCATCGCGCCCGCGGTCGCGAACGCCGCGGCGAAGCCGTCGTCGCCGCTCCCGAGCGCGTCCCCCGCGTCCACGGCCCCGGGCGCGGCGCCGCGGTGGGGCGTCGCGGTGAACGACCTCGACTGGTCCTACCCCGGCATCGACGGCCAGCCCGTCGCGGGGCAACCGCCGCTCATCAAAAACTTCAACCTGAAGCTCGCGCCCGGGTCGTGCTGCCTCCTCCTCGGCGCGAACGGCGCGGGGAAGACGACGCTGCTGAAGATTCTCGGCGGGAAGCACATGGTCCCGAAGGAGAAAGTCTTGATCCACGGCAGGGAGGCGTTCTACGACACCGGACTCACGACGAGCGGCCAACTGAGTTACATCGGCGGCGACTGGCAGCGAGACGTCGCCTTCGCCGGGTACGGCGTCACCCTCGCGGGCGATTTCCCCGCGTCGAAGATGCTCAACTCCATCCCGGGCGTGGACGAGGCGCGGCGGAAGAAAATCATCGAGGTGCTGGACATCGATCCGACGTGGCGGATGCATCAAGTGTCGGACGGCCAGCGGCGTCGCGTCCAGCTGGCGTACGGGCTCATGATTCCGTACTCGGTGCTGCTCCTCGACGAGATCACCGTGGATCTGGACGTCCTGGGGCGCGCGGATCTGATGGCGTTCCTGAGGCAGGAGTGCATGGAGAGGAGCGTCACGATCGTGTACGCGACGCACATATTCGACGGGTTGGAGCAGTTCGCGAGTCACGTCGCGTTCGTCGCCGGCGGGGAGTTGCGATTTTGTGAGCCGATCGAGAAGATCGACGGGCTCAGAGACCTCGAGCCCGGGGCGTTGCTCTCGACCGTGGAGGGGTGGCTGCGCAAAGAGGCGGAGATCAAACGAGAGGCGCTCGCGAAGAAGGGGATCGTCCCGAAGAAGGTGTTCGAGTACGTGCGAAACAGCGGCTGGGGGAGCGGACGAACCGCGTCCACGGTGTCGTTCGGACCGGAGCTGGGGATGAAGCACGAGGGGATTAAAGGGTCGTCGAACGCGGTCATGCGCGGGTGATCGAGCCGCGTGATCGAGGGAGGGACCCTGGGTCGCGGGTGGGGGGGTGTTGGGTGCGGGCGACGATTCGATTCGATTCGATTCGATACGATTCGTCGTCGCCCGTCGTTGTTTTTTGCTGTGCTTGCTACTAGAAATCACATTCTTTCCGTCCACCCGCGACCGACGCAGGGGGACGGCCACTGTGACATATATTACTTCTTCCTGAATATCCAGTCGTCGTCGTCGTCGTCAGAATCCGAATCGTCGTCGCGCGCGTGGTGCGGGCTCTCCCGTTTCGGTGGGACCCTGTGTGGGGCACTCGAAGCGGCGTTCGATGTCGTCGTCGCCGTCGCCGTCGTCGTCGCCGCGGCCGCGGCGGGGGCGATCGTCAACCGCTTCGGCGCCGGCTTCGACAGCCAATCGTCGCTGTCGTACCCGTCCTCGTCGCCACGCGTCGTCTCTCCATTGGCAAGCCCCGCGTGCTTCGAGAACTCCGCGTACGATAGCTCCCGGTCCGCGTCCACGTCCAAACTCTGAAACCACGCCTCCACGCGGTCCCTGGAGCCGTCCTCTTGGCTCACGGACGACGGCAGTCTCAACGCGGCGGCGAGATCCGGGCGCTTCCGAAGCGCGATGATGAGCTCGCGGATCGTGACGAACCCGTCCCCGGACTTATCGAGCGCGCGGAACAGCGCGCGCATCTCCTTGTCGTTCACCGAAGCCGCGAGGGGCGTATTATCGTGGTTTTTCTTCGTCGTCTTCTTCCTCTTCGTCGTCTTCATCTTCTTCTTCTCCGTTCTGTCCGCGAAGAGTTCGTTCGCGAATTCATCCCCAGAGTCCTCCTCCTCCTCTTCCTCTTCCTCCTCCTCCTCGACCCCCCGCCGCGGCGGCGGCTTGAACGTCACCTCGCGCGGGTACAACGTCAGATCGTCTCTCTGATGGTCCAGCGTCTCCTCGAGCTCGTCGTCGATCGCGAACTTTCCTTTTTTGAATCGCCGCGGCGACGGCGACGACGCGCGCTTCGGCTCGCGCCCGCCGGAGGCGTCGGCACCCACGTCGGCACCCACGTCGGCACCCACGTCGGCACCCACGTCGGCACCACCCGGGACGACCCCCCCCCAACACTCCGTCGGTTCCGGCGCGAGCGGGCGCGAGAGATCCAGATCCAGATCCAGATCCATCGCGGAGGAGGACGCGCGCGCGGCGGCGTCGTACTCCGCCGCCGTCGCGGCGACGGCGTCGAACCCGGCGAATCCTCTCCGCGCCTCCGCCCAGTGCGCCCGGTTCACGAGCTCCCTGCGCATGCTGCCGACGAGGACGCCGTCGTCGTCTTCGATCGTCATCGGCGAACCGACCGCGACGAGCGCGGTTGAAGATGATGACATGTCATTCTCTGATTGGTGGACCCAGACCGAGGACGTCGGCCGCGTCTCCGGCCCGCCGCCCCAGGCGCCGCCGGGCGCGACGTCCGGCCGCGTCGACAGCGGCATGTGCCCGAGCTCGCCGGCGTACACCTTCTCGTGCCGGCGCGGCTGCGGCTTCGGCTTCGTTTTTTTCTGTTTCTGTTTCTGTTTCTGTTTCTTCCCGACGCCGCCGCCTCCGTTCTTCTTCGCGCTCATCGCGTTCGGGCCCATCGTCTCGCGAAGCGGCGGCTTTCTGGGCGCGCTAATGCGCGTCTTCGTCGGCGTCGGCGTCGGCGCGGTTTCGCTTACGCTTCGCGTCGCGATCGGTTCTTCTTTTCCCGCGCTGCCACCGCCGCCGCCGTGAAGCGTCCCGAACCCTCCCAAAGACGCCTGCGACTCGGACGCGATCAACGCGCGGTGCTCTTCTCGCGGCGGCGGCGGCGGCGGCGCGGGGAGCGCGGCGCGTCCGCCGCTCTTCGCGTTCGCCTTCGTCTTCGTCTTCGTCTTCGCCGCCACCGCCGTCGCCGGGTCGTCGCACCAGGCCGGCTTCAAACCCGGCGGCAACAAATACGACGCGCACTCCGGCCCCGCGACCGCGGCGAGGTGCTGATACAACGTCATGTCCGCGCCCGACATCCCCGGGTCCCCCCCAAGCTTTTTCCGGTGCGTGATGACCTCTTCCCACGCGACGCGCACCGCGCGTTGCAACCACTCGCGTTCCTCCGCGTGCGCGGCGGCGACGAGACGCGCCTCCTCGCTCGCCGCCGCCGCCGCCGCAGCTCTCGCCGCCTCCGCGGCCGCCTCCGCGCCGCTCGCGGCGGCGCGCGCGCGCTCGCGCTGCATCTCGGCAGCCTCCGCGGCGGTCCGTCGCTCGCCCTCCATGACGGCCGCGCGTCGAAGCGCCTCGCGCTCGTTCATCGTCGCGCGCTGAGGGGCGTGGAGTTCATCGGTCAGTTAAAAAGGGGACGGGATCAACGTTGAAACCAACCGGGATACTGTATGGGTGAATCACGCGCGCTTATTTGAACGCACCCGAACCTCGTCGCGCATCCGCGTCGTCTCCCTCGCGAGCATACGCTCGACGGTGCGCTCGTGCGACGCCTCGCGCTCGGCGACTTCGGTCGCGAGGCGCACGGTGCACCGCGCGGACTCGGCCACCTTCGCGCGGCGGACCGCGATGGAGCCCTCTCGCCACCGCGAGAAAACCGCGGCGAGGAAAAACGTTTCGTTGCGGATCCCCTCCCCGACGCTCTCCAAAGCCGCCCTCGCGCCCTTGTACGTCCGCACGCACTGATGCCACCCGCGAAACGCGGGTGTCAACGCGTCCGCGCGGCCCTTGAGCGTGTAGTACTTGCGCGTCACTCGAGACGCGACGATCGTCGCGTGCGACGCCGCCGCCGCCGCGGACTGATACGCGTCCTCGGAGACGAGCGTAAACCACGCGCGGTAGCGCGCCCCGACGACGCGTCGTCGCCAGTGCTTCTCCGCCCGCGCCTCGCCGTGCCGGATTTTTCTTCGCGTCGCGACGCTCGCGCGGAACTCGTGCAAGTGTTTTCGCGCGACGCGGTAGTACTCGTGCGTCACCGCGCGCGTCGTCAGTCGCCGCTCGCGGACGCGCTCCTCCGCGGTGTAGCGCCAACGCCGAAGGCTCCGCGTCAGCGCGTTTCGCGTTTTATTCGCCGCCGCCTTTTTCGCGATCCGCGTCTGTCGCGCCCGCTCCGCGGTCGCGACCGCGGTCGCGTGCTCCAGCTCCAGCGCCGCCATCGCGGCGCGAATCTCCTCCGTCTTCGCCTTCTCCGCGTCCACGAGCGCCCTCGCGCTCGCCTCTGTCGATTCCCTCTCGTGCGCGCAGCAGCACGACGCGTAGCCCGCGTCGGCGTGCGCCGCGAGCCGCCTCTTGTCCGCGTGCTTCGGTTCCAGGGAGTAGTACTTCTTCGAGGACGGGTTGTGCCACGGCGGCGGGTCCGGGCGCTGCTTGCGCAGCGGCGCGACGTGCTTGAGCTTCGACGCGCTCAGCTCGTCGGCTTTCTCGCGTCGCGCGCGGACGGGGTTCGGATTCGGATCATTCGGACGCGCGGAGGGGCGTTTCGCTTTCGTCGGATCTGCTTCCCTCCCCCTCCCGGTTCCGTCCCTCGGCGTCTCGCCCGGGATGCTCGTCCTCGACGTCGCGATCGTCTCGGACGATCGCACGACGAGCGTGCCGCGCATCGCGTTCGAGGACGCCTTGACGCACACCGCTCTCGGCGGTCGCGGGGACGAGCTCTCCTCGGCGGAATCGTCCTCGTCGTCGTCGCGGATTATCGTCGCCTCGGCGTGCGGCGAGGGGGACTTCCCCGCCGCCGTCGAGCCGCCGCCGCCGCCGCGCGCCTCCTCCGCGCGGTTCAGGTCCAGCGGCGGGACCGTCGCGGTCATGGCGACGCCGCGCGCGCGCGAATCACAGCGCGAGGCTGTCCGATGCGTCCAGCGCGCGCCAGCGCCGCGCGAGTGTTACGTCCCCCTCATCAGATTCGCGCGGGCGTTTTATCGATCCGAGGCGACTGTTTGATGAACGACGCGACGCACCGCGACGCCTTCGTCAGACTCCGCGTCGCGCCGAGCCGCGCGCGCGGCGCGATGACCTCCTCCTCGGGGGCCGCCGCCGCCCCCTCGTCACCCGCGGAGGTCGTCTCGTGCGCGTTCAACCAAGACGCGTCGTGCCTCGCCATCGCGACGACGCGCGGCTTCAAGATCTACCGCGTCGACGCCGGGACGTGCGTGCACGAGGACGAGTCTCTGGGAAGCGTCCGACTCTGCGCCATGCTCTTCAGCACGTCGCTCGTCGCCGTGTGCGGGACCGGGTCCACGCCGTCGCTGTCTCCGCGCGTGTGTAAGCTCCTGAACACGTCCACGCGGCGCTGCATCGCGGACCTCGCGCACGCGAGCACTATCCTCGCGGTGCGCATGGATCGCCACGCGCTCGTCGTGGTCGAGGCGACGCGCGCGACCGTCTACTCGGGGGATCCTCAGAGTCGACCGC